AAGAAGCATTGTGCAGATATACCAACCAATTTATTTGCTACAAAACTGCATCAGCTTCCAGGCGAAACGACAGGTATCGACACTAAGCCATAGCCTAAGCGTACACATGCGTAGCTGCGAGTGGGAAAACTTGGGATGGTGCTACTCAATACATGTACGGAACAAGTGATGACATCACAAAAATTACGGTACATGTCATCAATACCAACTCGATCACGGTGTGAAGTTAGTCATTCACCGGGTCAGAGAATATGATTAAATTCGTTTGACTTAGAGGTGACACATGGCTAGCGAGCTAAGGATCTAATTAAATATTATGGCGAACGTCTACTTTGCCGAGGTTGGCCCACAAACTGTAACACTGGTGAGACGATATCTTTGGTACTTTTCCAGCATTGATCTTTATGAGAAATATGGTCTCACTAACCACTGCTTCAAGCGCAGGAGTCACGTCTAAAAAGCAAATCTGGATAAAGAAAAAAGCGGTTTTGAGAGCGCTCGTTTTGCTTTTTGGTTCAGCTGAACCTTTTTATTCGATTTGATCCATACATTTAAATAGCGGTTTTGATCAGAATGAAAGTCTTTGAATATTGAGCAGCAATCGGGAACATCACCCAAACTTTTCAGCCGATGCCATTCGCCGCTCCCACCAATATCATCGCGACTAAGGCCTTGCATTTACTGGGTCCATCTTTCTCAAAGCTTATGTACGAGCTTGCTTCACTGTCCGACATTCAACTTGAACACGATTCTTCACATTGACTTCAGCACAAATATATTCCTGCCATTGGGTGCTTTCAACAACTTTCACAGCGTCTCATAGTTACGTCTCGACCTCCTTTAGCACTTAAAGTGTCATCGCTTCACGCTTCACAATATTCTTAAACATTCCATATTTGACAAATAAAATCTCTAACAGATTTTCAAGCTTTCTGGCGTCTGTCGCTGGTTTTCCCGCCCCAAATACAATCATAAAGTTGCGTTTCAGTCGTATCAATCATCGATTGAGTGTATACTAGGTACCTCGCAAAGTCGTGCAGCTGCCTTTGCAACTGAGTATAAATACTTCTACAAAGAATGATCGCACAGCTTCCGACGTCTCGAGCGCTATTTTAGGCTTATTTGCCATCATGTGTTACCTTAACATAGGCACTTACACTGAAATTCTCGACGCTCCTAAGTCAATGATGACCCATTCAGCCGTCAAGGGACTCATCGTGGACGCTGACTTGATTAACTCATCGTTGGTGGGGGTTATTGCGAGCCAACGCCACTTGAGTCAAATACTATGATGCGTAGTCTCCCTCTTGGATCATATCAATATCGTTAACAATGCAAATTGATCCCAACCTCCACTAGGTTCCGCTATGTCTATGTCAAAGTGAATTAAAGAGCTTTAGCCAATCTCTCGCCCACGTCTAGTTGTTACAATCTAATAAATTGTCATCGATGATACTTTCGAGAATTCGCTGATCACCTGTGGAATAATAAACACGTGTGTTCCTTCACTCTAGACTGAAAGGTTCAAAGGGTCGGGCTCCCATGCTAGGTCGATCGACGAACCTTTTGCTGGAGAATGTTAAAAAGGCGCATGATGGTTCCCTAGGAAACAACTGAGCTTTGATGCATATCGTAATGGTCGTGTGGAAAGGTTTGGGTCAAAAGCATTAAGGTACAAGAAACGGTACGATGAACTAGAACTTTCTAGCATAGTTGATGGTTTTTCTCGACAATATTGAGCATCGTATGCATGGTATCCAACGCTATTGTTGTGATCGTGGATGCGCAACCGTAATTTGTGGTTTGAGAAGCAGAGGAAGCACACAGGATTCGGAGCAAAAATATTTTCAATCGAACGAGTTTACTACAGTATCTGCTATGGTTGTGTCTTTTCCATTAGACCATCTATAGCTACATTTCTAACGATTTGAAGCAGAAAGATTATACAAACACATCTTGTATCCCACAAGCATTCGTAAGACCATAAGGTGTTTGAGTGCGAACACATGAAGCAATGCCTCACCCATTCTCAATTGCAGTGCACCTTCTGCTCTCGTAAGACAATTCAAAGCGCTCAAATGATGCCTTGCTCCGTTTTAAAATATGAATCACGAACCACAAAAGCTGAGCAAGCTCGAGTTAGAAAGGCGCAATCGCTCTTCGCTGGCTCAGGATGGCGAGCAAGCGGTTTTGCCCTTCCATGTGGAGCGGCATAAGCTCTGCTGAACTTCAGTAAGTAACAAAACTTGAGGTAGTAAGTATCCACGTTGACGTCTACATTGCGCTTTGCACTTCGCACAATTAAGATCTATCGACGTCAAAGCCCGACGTCATTTTCACTAAAGCCGGGTAGTAAGGCTGTCAATGGCGTACATAAGTGTGATACTCCACCACTTTCACCGGGACTCAGTACTCTTGATGGAGGGGAGAGATCAGCTTCATCACCACTGCTGTTGATGAAAGCGAAATTCCAAAAAAAGTCGCGACTTGCAAAGTCAATAAGCGCTCACCGATAAATTTTTAAGCACTGGTATTACTCGCCAATTGACCAGAAGCAATGTACACATGGGCGTGTAAGTACTTCGCCACGACGATCAACTTCTGATGCATTGATCATGATGTGATCAAGTCTACAATAGACGTTGAGGATCTGGTGCTGATAGACGGGCGATATCAGCTTGCTGAGTCATACCAAATTCATTACTACGTCCTGGACGCCATGAGGTGTCGTCATACTCTTCGCCATATAGAATGGGCAAGGTGCTGATAATGTGTCGTCTTGCCGTCGTCAAATGTGAGCTTAGCTGTATTTCTATCGTGGAAGAAGAACGTGCCGGATCGAACTTAATCAATCATAACGCTCCGTTTTATCGGCCATCACTGTGTCGCCTCAGAAAGTGGTGGAGTGCACCGCATATATTGATTGATGACATATAGATCCATGTGAGTACATGAAGTAAACAATTTCTGGCTAATTTGGTATAAGTTTTCCTAAATATTACTCAATACATATAGTATAATCTTATGCATAAGCTAGCCCCGTACCGAATTCTTGTTTTGGGTGTGTGGTCACATTATGCACATCTCGTCAAAACCCCCTGTTATTAGGGTATTAGGGTTCGTGTAGCCCCCCGCCACCTTTCGAATAATGTATTTTTAGGAAAAACACTACCTTCCTGTGAATGAAACGAGTACAATTCTTATCTGTAACATATTCATTCATTCATGAGAAGGGATGAAAAAAGAAGAGAAGAGAAGAGAAGAGAAGAGAAGAGAGAAGAAGAGAAGAGAGAACCGCGTTCGACGTTGTACAGAACTTTTGTACAATAAAGTACAGACAGTACTTAATACAGTACATTAAGTACTGTACAATAAAGTACAATAAAGTACAATAAAGTACAATAAAGTACAAAAGTTCTGTACAACGTCGAACGCGGTTCTCTCTTCTCTTCTTCTCTCTTCTTATTGTACAATAATAAAGCTATGTACTGTATAATTAAGCACAAATAAAGTACATAGCTCTATCTCACAATGCATCATGTATGAATAGTGTACACGCTTGTGTTTCTTATTCATCCATGAATATGGTAAATAGTGGACTCACACACTTTTTGACATCAAGTAATTAGTCGATGCTTTAGTCCTTTGAAGTTCATATCTATGTTGTCGAAGTTGTACGATTGTGTGTTACCTTGCAAATATCACTGTGTTGTCTCACCTCGCGACGTAATGATACGGTTCTTCTTTCTGCGCATCAAATTGCTCACGTTTTTTTACTACTGTCCAACTGTCTGGATGCACACTCAATGATTGGATCCTTGTTTAGATGCATGATTTGTTATGAACATAAATTTAAGTATTTGTCCAGAATCCTAATGTCACTGCTGCGATTGTTTTTTCATTTGTCAATTTGCACTGCAGAACAAAGGACATACGCAAAGAAAAGTACACATGCGTCTGTTCCAGATTCAGATTTTGATGGTTGTTGCGGGAATGTTGCTAGCTGTCGGCGAGGTAGAATCGAGGGCTACTGTTTGTGGCCTTTGTGAAAAATACTGGAAAGCGTCCCATGAAGACATGACGATCAAAATTTTGAAGGAGGATATAAAAGATTTGTCAGAAACCTTTCAGTATTTTTTGGATCATTTCAAAAACGGGAAAACGTTGGTAGAGTACGCGTCCGGATGTGGAAATCCGGGAAATGAACCTACAGGTTGGCTACATCCGCAGAGCGATCACAATAAATATAACGAGTACATGACGTTTTTGATTAAAATCGAAAACAGTAATACTTCCAACGACCGGGCAAGACAGCGTGCGAAACTACTCCGTGAGGCCCAGCAGAATAGCGTTTACCAGTAGTCTGCACCCGAAGTATTCCGAAGATGTTAACTACAATTGCAAAACAACATGTAATTTGTTTAGTCAGATTGTCAGATAATAAAAAAAGACATTTTCTGTAATGCTAACTCTGTTGACTTCACCATTCTTTTTAATCTTATCAGCGAAGTTACGGCTAGTAACTTGAGTACGTTATATACTGAAGGTTTTGATCCCTGCGAGGCTGGAGAAAGATATGATAATGTAAGACACTTTTCTCGCGATGATTTTGCTAACTCAAGTAATGTCAAAGACTTTTTGCGATATCAAAAGTTTAAAGAAAAAATCTTGAAAATCATTGAAGCTCATCTACCTTTACCTTCACGCCAGCGCAATCGCTCTGTAGAGTAGCTGTTGCGCTATCCACATATACAATCGTTTCGTCCGCGTTAATGATCTTACAGATATGTATTATATCATAAGACTTTATGTACCAGGATCACCGATATTGCACCAACTCACCATATACAAATTATATGTGCTAAGAAACTTGGAATGAAGAAACATCCTGATTTCCTCAGCAATATTGGGACTAGGTCGGTTGGGCATCCATCGACAATACTCGGGATCAGAAGCATATACTTCTTTCGCTCGACATGTTTTCGGTTATGGGGTCTTACCTTTTTTATGAGATCAATTTATTGACCCCAAGGTTCAGACGAATCCAACGGTTGTTTGCTCTCAGTGGTCGAGTTGTTCTTAAAATCACTGGGGATCTTTAAATTCCAGGCGTAGATTTCTGAATACTGCCACTATTTTAAGAGACATTAAACGGCTCATTCTTTCGGTTCTTTTTGGTCATCGAAAAGGACCGATGATTTTCGAAGATCTTCGTACTGTCGGCGAAATTAAGGCAATTGAGGTGTCTGCATCATGTGAAATCCTGCGTTGCGATTGAGATATCTAGAAAGTTATATGGAGTGGGTTCTGCGAATGACGAAGGATGAAAACTTCCTAATGCCTCATCAGCTTTGCCAGCCTTTGGCAACTGTCCTACTTTTGCTACAAACTTTTGACAGCTATTCTAGTTCACAGGGGCGCGAATTTAAACGGATAGATATATTTTAAGGGGCATTTCGAAGCACTCTGATTATGAATACCGTGCGCGAAAAGTAAGGAAGACATGGTCCAGCT